TTTTTTTTTGTTTTTGTTATTGACGGTTTGTTAACTTCTGTTTGATTACGTGAATAACCGATCAGTCAAAGGTATCGTTTGCTACGCACGCAATACTGTACGAAAATATTCGCCTACAGTTTCATGACACGCCTGTGACTTCCCTGATCAATCAATCAAGCGTAACATTACATTGGATTTTGTTTTTATTATTCATCAAAAATAAATCTAATACGTATTTTTATTAAGATATTTTTTCACAAAATTTATTCTATAGAAATTTTGTTAAATATTTATTTTCTATACATTATTTTTGTTGGAATATTTCTTTGCTATTCTGATAAATTGTTTTTGATGTTGTGTAATTAAAATTATACTAATTTCATAGTTATCAGACAAACAAATTTGACAAATTGAGAATATGATAATTTCAGTTTTTAACGGTAATATACGATTTCTTTAATGAAAAATATGACGTTATTAACACTGAATTTGAAAGATGAAACAAAATATTTTGAACTTGTGAATATCTTTTTATCGATTTTTTAGAATAGTTACGTGTTCATTTCTAATTTTAAATAACTTCTTTATCCGAAATAAGTAATTATATTTTGTAAAACCTTTGTATTATTTATAATTATTGCGCAGATAAATGCCTTTTCATCATGCAGAAGATTATCTATGAAACACTGCACATCAGTAGATATCTGTAATCTCCATTTTCTCATTCAAAATAATAATTAACCAATGATAATTAGATAAAATATGACTTGTTTTTGTTGATAACAAATCCTCAATCAATAATTAAAAACAAAAACGTAATATATTAAATTATTAAATTTTGAAAAGAAATTCCGATTAATTTCTTTTATTTTTATTATAAAAAATAAACTAAATTAAATTCGTTCCTAGAAATATCAATATGACTTTTCTAAAGTATAAAATATACTATTACAATAATGCATTCCGTTTATAATTACCATGATAACATGTGTAAAATATTATATCAAATTTAAATAAATATCTCTCCCTCTCTCTACATATATATTAATACAACGGAGTATTGTTCGACTTTGTCAATAATAATAGAAATATTTTTTTAAAGCTCTAATAAGCGACAGTCAATTATTGTATGAATGACAAAGAAAAATATACATAGACTAACAATATATTAGGTAACTCTCTAGTTAAAACATGAAAATCATCATAAGTCTTATCTCATGCATTTAGAGGTATGATTATGTACTAATTGTTTTGTGAGATATTCTATTTCAAAGCATAATTAAACAAATTAACACGAGCAGAAAGTACCTAATATGTGACTAATAAAGAATAGTAACCATAATTGGTCTTTATATAAACTATATTTTTTTCATAATGATGCTCTGAAACATCATAAGCATATGGTTTATCGTCTAGAAAAATAATTTATTTGTACTCTTTCACTATAAAGTATGATCGAACTCTTAGTTTATATTAATTCTAAAAGTAAAAGTATTCTATTCTCTTGAGATATACAAATGACTAAAATAAAATATATTCTTGAATATCCTTAAAGTTTAGGTCGAAATTCTGTTTGACAGTATAGATAAAGAAAAAACATTGAAACGAAATGGATTTTTAACAAATAGTTATTTCTATTCAAGGTATTTCGTTATTTTTTTTTGTCTATGTTGACAAAAACCAACTGATTTTTCTGAATAAGAGATAATTCAACTATTGCGATTTAATAATGTTTTAAATAGAATGAACTTAACTCCTACGTATAACATTTTCTTTATGAATATTTATATTGTCAGTCCAAGCATTTTAATTGTTTCTTCAAGCACTCTACTTATTTCATTGATTGAATTTACATATATATATATATATTAGATATTCATTGTTTATTTGTCTATTAAATGTTCCAGATATATAGTTAAATTCATTACAAACTTCTATTATGATTAATGATCAAACAAAAACAAATGGTTTTATACTTAGTTCGGTTTCCCTTGGCTTTAATATATTTGCATGTTTGATATCATGTGTAGTTTTTCTTATTATTATATATCATCTTTATTATAATCATATCAAACGTAAAGACAAAATAACTATTGTTCTTTGTGCTCATATATATTTGGAAATTTTAATATATTCATCAACGCTAATATCAATGAATATTCGATCAATACTGGGTGATTTGTATAACCAATCTTTTGATTCATCATGGTGTATATTTTCAGGATATTTAGCTATTATATTGCTTGGTATGCTATACTGGAATTTTCTGAATCAGGTAATTCGAAATAACAGAAATTAAAAAAAGTTATATTTTCTTTTTTAAATAATTCTAGTCATTTTATCGTCTTATTCGAATTGCTTATTTTCAAAATCGGCGATTTCAATCTTTAAAATTATATCTAGTTTTACCAATTATAGAAATGATAATAATATCTATTCTTCTATGTGTTCTTATACCTTTGAATGGTATAAGATATTCGCCAAATGATCACTTTTGTAACATAGCATACATGAATATTCCTAGTGTTCTTTGGGCACTGCCTATTGTTTATGTGTGTCCATTTTGTTGTTTGTTATTTATTTATATGTATATAACAAGATTTATTCATCAACAAGGAACTATTCAAACATTAATAATCAAACGACGACAATCTCGAGATTTCCTTATTATTCAACGAATTTTATCTATTGTTAGTTTATTACTTATTCTTTCAATACCTTCATTGATTCTTATAATTATGTCTCTGATACGAGGCGAAGAACATCCATTACTTACGCGAATTTCATATTTTCCAGTTAGTGTATCTCAAATGGGATTAAGCGTAGCATTACTTTTTTGTATTCCGCAATTGAAAAATATTGTTTTGAACTTACGAAAACCAAGCACAGTGACTCCTGTCAGTCGAGTTGTGCGAGGCACATTACAAATGAGAACAATTGTTGGTACTCAGTAATTGTACATTGTTTACAATTTCTTGTTTTTATGTAATTATGCAAGTGAAGTTGTTCTTGTTTATTTATGAATGTGAAATTATTTTATTGATTATTATTGTTTTAAGTATTGTTCGTAGTGAAATTAATATGTTGTGATATTCAGCTTTGTATTGTTTATTATCGTTTATTAATGTTTAGAAATAAATAAAGTTGTAGTATTAATTGAACTAAGTTATCAAATGTAATGATTTTGATGCAAAAAAAGAAGAATAAATTTATAGGTTAGAATAACACAATAATCAAAAGCACAGAATAATATCAATGAATGATGATTATGTTTAATGTTAAATACGTTCTTGAGTAAAAGTTTGACTTTATTCTAAAAAATTCAAGCGTCTATACTGTTGAATATTATTATTATAAGTAGTCATTCTAATAGTCTAAATGTTATGAACAAAAGATTCAACCATGAAAATTACTCATTTTTTTAAAATTTATGTAATAGAAGGTGTGGGTGTGTGAGAACCACTAGAAATCGAGTATTTAGAGAAAAGTATTTCAGTGGATATTTTGATGTTCTCTTTCTCGTTAAGAATTATGTAGTGAGCAGAAAATTTTGGTTTTTTGCTTATGTTACTTCCCACCTTGTACTGATTGGTCCAAGGGTAGTCTAACAAGAAATTAATATTGGAATCTCAAACTTGACTCCATTTACGTTTACTATTGATTAGCATGCGACTGCGTGTTGAGAGTGACAAACAACGAAGGACCTTTTTTCGAGTTTTTCTCAATGGACGTGGAGAAATGGCATTTGTACGAGAAAGAACTAAGCTAGTTAATAATCGCGGTTCACTTACTTCATAAATGTGGAATTTTTATGGTATAATGAAGATCATATGAGACAAGAAGCGTTTACATCTATCTATCTGTTTGTGTGTCTAAATAATAGCAGTACTTGGTTTCATCCAATACCGAACACTTGTAAAGAGTGATTATTTATTTTCGATTAGGGGTGTCACTTTAACTTTAACTTTTCGTTTAAAGTAAAGTTAAAGTGACACCCCTATTTTTGATAGTCAAACAGCCAAATTTATCTTTATTTTTGTGAGAACATGATAGTGCCCCATAAAGTTTTACGTAAGTTTTTTGGGAATGGGAAATTTGAAGCTAGTATGTGATGTTCACCTCGTTTTCAAGAGAAAGCTCTTCAATCAAGAGACGACTTCAGAGAAGGAGAATATTGACGTGACTGTTCGTATGAGTAGAGACACTCTACTCAGGAGACCAGCAGGTGCACAGTTTAGTTTTCTAATATCGTTCGAGTGGTTAATACAGTTGTTTCATATTGTTCATAATATGATTTAATTGATTTAGTGTTCGGTTCTTACGTCATTTTGCATACTCAACGAAATATTGATATTAAATATACAGATGCCAAACGACCTCTTTGTTAGAGCGCTTGACGGTGACAACGAACTAGGTACGATAAGGCAAGAAACATGACCTGAATCGTAAGATGTAATGTATAACATCGAGTAGTCGGGAGGGTGGGTGTGTGAGGTGGAAGTGAGTGTTGGTATGGGTAACTATTTTCTCTTAACCTACATCCACACCCACACCCACACCCACACCCACAC